ATGTAAAATAACCATCTCTTTAACCTGAAATGCCCGAGTTAACACAATTACAGCAAATGTTATCTTTAAATGCAATCAGATAAACACGCAGAATCTGCAGAGTACACTAATTGCCTATAGCAAATTTTGCAGCTGGTTTCTTTCTTGCTGTTTGTAAGAAAGATGTTTGCCTAAAGTCACAGAAGCTAGTGTTTAAAATTACAGCATATTGTTCTTTTCATACCATTATATTTATTCCTCTTAACTTTTAAGTGTTGCACTGCAATTAAGAAGTCTCACCAGATTATATTACAGTGTACATAGCTTGAACTTGTAAGAAATGTATATGGGCTTTCTTTGTTTTGTTTTTTTTTAAACAAAAGGTCCTCCCCAATACTTCGGCATAACAAGACAGTGACACAGAGAAGGTCACTGACTTGGTGCTCTCTCTCTCTATTTTTATATATATCGAGAGAGAGAGAGAGAGAGAGAGAGAGAGAGAGACACACACACACACACACACACACACACAGACAGACAGAATAGCACATTACATTCCAGGCTATAAATGTCATAGGTTTTATCTTAAAAAAAAAAAAAAAAATTCACCGGAGCAGGATTTTGCTTGTGTAAAAACAATGGCTTCTGTGGAATTCTAGGATACTGCTGGATACTCTGATATACTGCATAACTCAGAGCTTCATCTCACAAGAAGCTACTAGTCTTACACATTAAAACTATTCAAAATACATTACTAAATGCAATATGTCACAGCTGAAGTCCACGTTTACCACAGACTCCATGAGTTCATATGATTTTACACAGCACTGTGTAGCAACAATAATATTCAATGGAAACACGTTAGGAGACCTACAGAAGGCTACATTGCTTTTTTTTCCCCACCCAAGGACCTCAGTACTTTACAAACATCAGTTAAGCCTCAGCATGCCTGAAATTTAATTACAGAAGGCATTATTTGCAGACATTATACAAAGAGTCTAATTCAGACTTGTTACCCAACTCCACTGAAGTCATATAATTTAAGTGTCTTTCCAGAAAATCAGTGACAGAATCAGAAAAAAAGACCTCAGGAGTTTGATTCTCACCTTTATAGCAGTCAAGCTTTTGCTGTAGTGTCCCTGAGAGGAAAGGACTTCACACCTTTTGAAATCCAGGTCGTGTCCCCCCCCCCATCTGTTTACTTTTAAACAAATCATTACATTCCTCTCCCATAACAAAGGAACACCCTCTGTTTCATTTTTGTTCTACAGTTGTATTATGAAATCGCTGCAAGCACCCAGAATCACAGAAGTAGGGGTACTTTAAGAATATCAGTACAGTTGTACCTTTTTCCCATAACCATTCAAGTATTCTGATATAGTAATGAGGCAGACTTCAAGGACAGAAAGGATTAGTATAATCACCTAGTCCAGGGTAGGGATGTAAAATCCTGGTTAGGTCGTTAGGAGGAAGTTACTCACCTTGTGCAGAACGATGGTTCTTTGAAATGTGTGTCCCTATGGGTGTTCCACTCAGGTGTCAGTGTGCCCTTGCACCTGCCATTGGAGATTTCTAGTCTAGCAGTGCCTCCCATGCCGTGCATGCTCAGTCACCATCTCGCAATGTTGTCATCCATTAGCTGCAGGCATGGCATGGGTTCCCCTGTTCCTTTTCTTCCAGAAATCCTATAACTGACTCTTAAATAAATAGAGGGGAGGAAGGGAGGGTAGTGGAACACTCACAGGGACACACATCTCAAAGAACCATACTGCAAAAGGTGAGTAACTTCCTCTTCTCCTTTGAGTGGTGTTCCTGTGACTGCTTCACTCCGGTGTCTAGAGAGCAGTATTCGCTGCCTGTGAAGGTGGGCTTTGGAGGCATATATGAGAGGAGGCAAGGACTATGTCACCCAGAGAGAAGGCAGGTATTGGTCCTTGCTACAATACATAATGCTGTGCAAAGGAATTACATGGGGACCATTTGGCTGCCTTGCAGATGTCAACAAGGGGCACATTTTGCAGAAAAGAAGTCAATGTGGCCATCGCTCGTGTGGAGTGCACACTCTGAGGTGGAGTCATTTCAGAGTCTGTAATATGTATTTATACAGTTTGCTATTCACTTCAAAATAACCTTGTGCGAAGACAGCTGTTCCCCTGTGGGGACTGGGCATAGAAATAAAAAGTCTGTTTGACCTTCTGAATTGTTTGGACATATCTATACAGAATGCAACAGCATGTCTTGCATCCTAGTTATGTAATATCACTTCCCTGGGTAAATTGTGTGGTTTAGGACAATAGGTAGGTAAATAAATGGGTTCATTAATATAAAATTCTGAGAACTTTTGGCAGAAGTTTTGCATGGGGCCTGAGGATAATGTTGTCCTTGGTGAATATATCATATGGGGTTCCACCACAAGAGCTGCAATTTCACCTACAAACTTTGCAGATGTGACTGCAACAATGAAGACCATTTTCAAGGCCGGTGTTGTGAAGCTGCAGTTGCCAATTGTTCAAAGGGAGGTCTCAAGTGTGCCCAATATGAGGTTCAAATCCCAAGGTGGCACAAGTGGACGTAAGTGCGGACATGTCTTACATAAACCCGTCAGGAAATGCCTGGTGATCGGGTGGGCAAAAACATCTTTTTCTGTGATCTCGCCTTTGCCTCTGGTGTTGGTGTGTGGTAGGTGTCATCAGACGCTCGGCGTCAGAAAGCTGTTCAGTGCTGCCATATCCATCGGTACCTGTGGAGGTGGTATGTCCGCTTTGGCCAATAACAGGTGAGAAGCATATTTTGGCAATGCAGGCATTTCTGCGCCACATGGCCCTCGCACCGAGATTTTATTCAGAAGGTGTGCAGTCAGAAACATGGCATACAGTCTCTTCAAGAGCCACACTTCTTAAAACTGGGGGACCCTGGAATGATGAAAAAACTGGAGTACAACGCACTTGGGTGAAAAAAGAAGAAAAAACGGGGAGGAACTTTTTTTTTTTTAAATGAACTAGTACTAGCTTACACCTAAGAACTATTCAGACTCCTAAAAATACTAACAAACTAATTTTTCTCTTTTTTTCCAGTCAGAAAAGCACTGCTCCGAGACTCCATCTTCTGCTGAGGTTGGTAGAAAAGATCTGAGGGGATCCGCGCCATGCATGTAGCTAACAGATGAAAACAGCATGAGATGGCGACTGCACATGCTTCAGATGAGAAGGCACTGCTAAGCTAAAAATCTCTGATCTCTGGTGCAAGGACACACTAACACCTGAGTGGAGCACCCACATGAACACCACTCAAAGGAGAACCAGTTAAAGTGCTTAACCAGTTAACCCTGCGAGGGGGGCAACATTAGTCAGCATACTCTCCTAGGCCAACAATGCATACACTAGAGCAGCCAGAGCTATTCTCTCCTTCATTCCCATTCTGGGAACAGGTAGGGCATACTTGACTTAGTCTGATCTGCATAAACACAAGTGATCAAACGAACTAAAACAAATCTTTTGGAAAAGCCGCCCATTTCTGGTTTAAATACTCCAAGTGATTGAGAATTTGCAACATGCCTAGATACACTGTTGGCGACCTGTGCTGTTAAAAATAGAATTGTTTGATTTCCTGTTGCCCAACTTCAGTGACAATAACACCCACATCTCAGTGCACTGAGGCCATGGAACAAGAGACAATGCTTATAGGTCTTAAAGCAGTTCCCAAATAAATAGGATAATTGCCATCCATCACACAGTTTACTCCATTGAAGGTGTGGGGCCTACAGGAAAATTAAGATTCTGTGTGTGTTGAAATTATGAATTATTACAATTATAAATATAATTTGGAAGAGCATATTGCCACTAACATAATACCGCTTGATTATATGAATGTTAAAAATCAGACAATTGAAGCCAAGAAATAGAGTGCGGAATTGATATTCATCTATAAATTTGACACTTTTGCCCTGGGCTTGAACAAAGACATTAACTGGATATTGCATTATAAAGCCAGTCTCCCCTGCCTTTAACAACTGCATTTTTACACCAAAAGCTAAGAATAAGACACTTCCAGGGCACTTAATTAGCCTCATTAGCACCAGTCCTTCAACTGACAGGTTTTTTTGTTTGTGTTTTTTGCTGTTGTATATATTTTCTGTCATTTCCACTCCAGTTCATCTGATCAAGTGGGTCTTGCTCACAAAAGCTACTGTTATATATTTCTGTTAGTCTCTAAGGTGCCTTAAAACTACTCATTGTTTTCCAAGATACAGTATCACTTTTTACATTGTAAGCCACCTTTAGTCCCACAGCCCTGAACAACATATGATTAACAAGTAACAAATGGCTGTAAATCTGAACACCAAATCTGCCTAAAATTGGTAAAACTCATTTTTACATCAGAATTGTATGGTTCAGTCCCATCTTTAGTTATGAATGAACAATTTACTAATAAGCAAAGTTGCATATTTAACTTTAGATGACTCTTTTAATGACTAGACTCCCAATCTTAATACGTTTACACACACATGGCTTATTGTTCAAACTTAGGCCACTTCCTGAGGTTTGAACTTTATTTACAATGAAAGTAAATATTGCAATGTATAATAGTGGTGTATTTACAAATATAAAACTTGATTTTCAAGTTCACTCCTAAGATAGCTGTTCTTAGGGTTTCTCTTTTGCAGTATTCCCTCAGATGGTGGTTTTAGGGGAGATATTTTTGCATCCCGTGGTGCAGCACACAGCATGCATATGGCCAATGTCAGAAAAAACAATCTTAACAGTTGAAAAAAATATGTAAACCAAATAACCAACACACGTCAAATTTTCGGGAACCAGAAATACTGTTTTTTTTCTTAAATGATCTCCCGATTCCTCTGTCACCTGAAAATTTTGCAAACATCCCTAAAACAAAACAAAAAACCAAGAACAACCACACACACCTCACCACATCTTCCCAAAACAACAAAGAGATTCCCATTCTTTTAATTCCAATACCCTATCCACTGACCAAAAGTAGCAGTCAAAACCATAATGCCTTACCAACTTCTGTTACATAGGACTTTCCTTCTGAAGGTAGGGGGATATACTGGTTAGAAAAGAAGCTGCTTCCATAGCCCAAGATGAAGCCGTGGAGTTTGGTGTTGGGAATTAGCCGAAGGTACTTCATGCAAATGGTATCATCAGTTGTGTTGATCTGGACTTTCAGGTTTTGTCCTTTAAATGGGGAAGAAAGAAAAAAGCTAGGAGTTATTGTCTCATTCACTAACAGAACAACAGAAGGCAGCTCAACAGCTGTTTAAAGGGGGCAGTCTCCTTGACATCTGGTTCATTTAAAAAAGTGAACTAAACGTCATTTAACTTGCCTCAGAGCCCCATGACAACTTTTGGGGGGTTTTATGCTCACATTTTTTAAAACGCTCTCTTTCCTTTGCTGCTGTTTGAAAGGCTTGAACAAACAACATTGGGGTTTTGTCTACACAGCACCTGGAACATGCCTCCCAGTCTGGATAGACAGGTATGTGCATATCTGGCTGTGGACAAATGGGTTAGTGCCTGAATATAAGCCCACTTGACCCCAGGTTTGTACTCAAGTGGCTAGACTATGCTGTCATCTATGCTGCAGTGGCCATACTGCTATTTTCGGCATGCTAGTTCAACTAGGCCTAGCCAAATCTGTCTACCCAGGCTGGAAGGCTCCAAGCTGCACCATAAATGCCCCACAACCAAGAATTGTGAAATGCATCAAGTAAATTAGAACAAAATCCTTTAATTTCAATAATCCTACCTATCACTTGTAACAAGCATAGCTGAAAAAATGTCAGAGAGAAGTGGTACATAAGCGTGAATTTAAGTTTACTGTATTGCTTTAACAATGCACTGCAACACTAAACAACTTATTACGGAAAATAATAACCATGCCCAGTGGAAATTATAGTCAGTTGTTCTGGGTTTTTGTTGCTGTTGTTGTTAACAGAATGTATTTTTCTAGTCAGAATTAGGCCTGGACACAAGAACAAATGTGCATATTGGCCAAAATACCAAGATTTTTTTTAAACCCTTATTTTTATTCTTTCCAACAGAACAGAAAATGAGAAACACCTTGAATATCCATATACAACAATTTAACTTGCAGCAGCACAGAACATCCTTTTGTCGTCATAAAATTATGACCTTCATAACCGAACAAGCAATTTTATAGACTACTAAAAGATTTACCTAGCATTGCTCGAGTCCTTAACTCAATTTTTGTTTTATGGAAAATAATGAAACTGTACAATGCTTCATTTAAATCACTGCTTTGGAGAGTGGGCATGAGGGATTTAGTTTCCTGTCTGCCCCCAGCCCTCTCTCACCACAGTAGCTTGGGACCAGGTGAGAAGTGCCTCTCCATGGCCACTGATGCTCTAATGGGTACAGCCCGGGGAGAGGCACTTGTCCTCCACCTAGGGCAGATGCAGGTTCATCTGCACTCTGCACTCCCCCAGCCAGCAAACTGTGTACTCTGCTTTCACTCCCTGACAGAGAGTAGCCATCAACGGTCCCATACAAATCGGGGGGAGGGGCAGAGTTTCAGCCCTCTTATCCTCCCTAAAGAGTGCATGGGGGGGTGAGAGGCTCAGGGTTGGGGCAGTCCCAGACGAGGAGGCCACACCCCCAGCCAGCTTTTTTCACCTGACTGATGATTCTGTCTTTTCTGTAAGGTTTCATGAGAAGCAATCTCATTGTCCTGGCACAACAATGTGTTTCCCTTGCTTTAAGTTATGATAAAACAAGAGTATATACTGAATTTGGAGGTCCTAGCTGTTACCATTTAGGTGAAGTTCTTGAACAGGCAGAGACAGACACAAACTCTCTCAAATATATACAGGTTGAAATGCCCAAATCCAGGACTCTATGGTCTGACAGATGTTGTTGGATGTAAGAGCCCTGGAGGCTGGGAGTGAGAGCCAGCTAAGAGTCCTACCATAGCTGGGGACACCAGTGGCCGGGCCAGCCAGCGGCTGGGGAATGCTGTTGAACCCCCAGCAGCAGTGAGGTGACGGGAACCCCTAGTAGCAGCGGCCCCAGTCCCAGGTAGGGAATCCCTAAAAGCAGCAGGACAGTGGCAGTCCAGCAGCTACGGCATCCCTGGCAGCACATGCCAGGAAACCCTCAGTGGCAGTGGGACTAGCAGCAGGGCAGGGAGCCCTGGCTGGGCCTAAGTTAGTGGGTCCAGTGGCAGGGTGGGGAGCCCCAAACTTAGGAGAGGAACCCAGGAGCAGAGCAGCAGCTAGCAGGGGAGCACTGACCTCCCCTGGTCCAACAAAACTCCATGGTTTGGGACTGCTCAGGGTCCCAAGGGTGCTGGACTAGGGAGGTCCAACCTGTAGAGGATCAGTATTTTCTATCATGGTGGAATATAGTGGAGGAAGTGTTTCAGTTCTCAGTACTTACCATTTCAGGTGACACTTCACTGCTATGAGTGTTATATTTCCAGTAATTCCAACCCCCATGGTAAAAAAAAAAAAAAAGAGTTAGGTCCCTCTCTCAAAGTTATGACAATGACATAAAAATACATTTTAGATGTTTATTTCCCTTTTGGTTTCTCAGCCCTTAGGCAGTATACGTGGTACATTTTCAAAGATTATCAGCCACCCTGGGGGCAAAAAACTTACCTCAAAAAAATGACAGCAGAGATGCTCATGAAATCAGTTTCCTCTAGGGGGAGGAAGAGATAAGGGAAACACCTTCAAAAACTCAAATGTGGCTAGACTTGCTATAATATTGCAAGAGTTTACAACACTGTCTTCTCCTTTCCCTGAAAGAACAACCATGTGCTTTTAGCCTGAATGATGCATTTTAGATTCTGGAGAAAATACAGATCCCAACAAAGCCTCCTTGAGAGAGCACAGTGCGCATCATCTTTGTGCAGGTGACAGCTTCTCTAAAAACAAAATGAGTGCACCCTCTGAAATCAGGCAGATTTTTCATAAATTTAAAGGTATATTACACATAAAATGAAAGCACCACCCAAAGGACTTTCAAATCAACAAGAGTACATCTACAATTCAATGCTATTTTGAAATACTAGCACTATTCCGAAATAACATTAGTCCATGTCTACACAGCAGCAGTTATTTCAAAATAATGTTGAAATACTGGTAGATTTCTTACTCTGACTTCTGTAATTCTTATTGTACGAGGAGCAATGGAAGTCAGCGGAAGAGTTCGAAATAAGTGCTGTGTAGACGCTCCCTATTTCAAAATAAGCTACGTCGAACTAAGATACACAATTGACATAGCTCAATTTGCGTAGTTTATTTTGAGTTAAGCCCTGCAGTGCAGATGCACCCTTAGCTGCCTTTGTTCTCCTTCCAATACTGAGGAAAAACCAACCATGATTTTGTCCAATATCATGCAAAGGATGCCATTCTGAAGAACATGCCAGACCACCCTTGGCAACATGATCACACATACTGCATCTGCTTCTCCTCAAGTATTATATTCTTCATCCCCATTTTTTTCTTTTGGTCTCAGTTTAGCAGCTTGGAGATGTCCAGCCTTTTTATTTATTTATTTATATAAGGTGTGAAATTGTTGCTGTGTGCTTCTATGAATGTCTGAGCGCTAAAAAGACCCCATGTACAAGTTACTAGAAAAAGAGGTTCCTCATGTTTAAACAACTGTAAATACCGTTTCATAAAAGACATTAAACAAAGTGTGTTTTGTGTTTGGAGACTCAGATTGTCACCTGCAATTTTTTATAAATAAGAACATTCTGTGAAAATCTGCATGTGGGAGGAAAAAGAATTATCCTTCATGCAGAAACTGAAGTTTAACAGGTAATCTTTATAATTAGCTCTGGTGTTGTGGTTCAGACATTAGATAATAATCAGACACGAATGATAAATGTACTTGATTTTGGTGAAATTCTGAGACTGGGATTTATACTTTAATGGGCAACACAAACTCCTCTTTAGAATTTATATAAAGATTAATTATATAGTTTCGTATTCTTTGATAATTGAATTCCAAAGCAATATTGAAAGTAATTTGCTTGATTTGATTCTGATTTGAAGGAATATTTGATTTTTAGCATAGTATTATTAATAATCACTAATCTCTGGTAATATCTTTTCTTCATTCTGTTTTAGTTTAAGAGTTTTGGTAAAATTCATAAAGTAGAAACTCTACAGAGTTAAAGGCCAGGGGTGGATACCAACTGGTAAACCTAGAAGCCCAGCAAGTTTCTCTTGAGAAATCCATGCTTTTCTTGTTGGGTTAGCAAGAAGCGGGAGCATCACAAAAATTCACAGCTGAAAGATGCTGGTTTAGCAGGGCTTTCTAGAAGGAACGGCTGAAAATAATTGTGCTTTTGCTTTAGACGTAGTGCTTTGCTATAATTCATGATCTATGGCATTAACTGACAATGTCATTACTATCAGAATAGAGGTTTTCTATGGTCAATCACTGGACTGAGTAATTAAGTCCAGCCACACTAAATCAGTCTCACATTATTAGAACTATTTACCATTCAAGCATAACACTAACACAGAGCCAACTTTACCATTCGCTGTAATATCACCCTATGTGGTGAGCATTCACATAATCATTCCTCGAGCTAATTAAACAGGACTGAATGCATCATATAAGTCACAAAAGCCTTTCTGCTACTACCACGTGACAGGGTATGTGCTTTACTAACCAAGTCAACCCCTTGGAATCACTGTGGAAAGAAAGCCTTAAAATAAACTAGCACAATCAACTAGGCTTTCTTCAGTTTTGAATCTGAGCCAAAATATACTGTACTCAATCATCACTTCAATCTTTCTGCTTCCAGTATGGCCTAGCTTAGCACCACACACCTTCAATTGAGGAGAGTAAAGTGACCATTGCACAGACTAAAAACAGGTTGATAACATTGTGTTAAGTATTTACTTATTATTTAATGACAAAGTACCTCAATTTCATCTTACTGCCTTTTTTCCCTATCCAAATCTGATTTTTTCCCCCTTGCATTTACTTTGTATTGACCACTACGTA